AAGTTTTAAACAACCAGTGAATGTGCTAACATTTCGGGATTTTTAATAAATGCTTAAAGCGTTGTTGTTCTCTTTTGGACAGCCATTTGAGTGCTGTTAGTGTATGGATCTTATTGAGTCTAAAATAATTCCTCGCAAGCAAAGAGCAAACAAAATTCGGTGTACTAAATATATATATATTATACATTATGGCAGATCTTTCGTAGAGCTGTCTATCTAATTAATTTCGTGTGTGATGAGGTTCTGATAAGATTACATTTTGAAGGGTTGTTTTTGTCCTAAAGAACTGAATAAATTTCTCACAGGAACAATTTGAACTTAAATTTGTTTTTGTTGTGTTTTTTTTTGGGGGGGGGACAGTTTATACTTGTAGTACTGTTTAAAACTATCAAATACTACGCAACAAACACTCCGAAAGAAGAATTTACAAATTTGTTTTTTGTTGTGTTTTTTTTGGGGGGGGGCAGTTTATACTTGTAGTACTGTTTAAAACTATCAAATACTACGCAACAAACACTCCGAAAGAAGAATCTACAGACACAAGACGTTGGTTTCCCGATGCCAAAGAAAGTATTCGGTGCTCTTATTATTACTCGAAGCAGAACATGGAAAGGTTTCATTCGCATATATGAGTTTGTTTATTCTGAAATATAAAATATCGCTCTTATATAACAACGACCATCTTCTCTGATGGGGTTCATTTTCAGGAGTACTAGAATAAATCAAAGTCTCATCATGAATCCACCGATAAGGTCATTCAAGGACTCCCTAAGTTAGTTCATTCAATCGCTAAGACAATATAAACTGGGAAGGAGTGAATCTCTTATCTGATTATAAAATTCTCTTGTGTGAGAAATGATTGTTGGAAAAATAGTTGCCTTAGATTGCAAGTCTACGCAAATAGCCATGTTTATCGTTGAAATCATTGTTTCATTCACAACCATATGCAAACTTTTTAAAGTAAAAACCTGCTTATTAAAGGCTTGATAACTAATGATAAGACTATAGGAACGAAGTCTAGGTATACACACACACACAGATATATATACATATATATACAAAATGTTACACTACCTGACAAAACAGGATCTTCTAAAACGTCAGTCCTAGGGAACTATAACAACTGTCGTGTTTCATTTAATCACGTGCACCAATGAAATGAATTGTTTCTTTTACGGATATACGTCTCATTTGTTAACAATGGTGGCACGATACAGCAAGAACAGAGCCACATGTGATCTTCTAATACGGTGTTTCCATCATGCACTAGTGACCTTTTTTTTTCTTCTCCATTGTAACTGTGCCTTTTTGAGTGACCCCTCATTATCCAACAACATACAGGGTTTCATGAATTCCAATAAATACATTCCTTTTCAGTCATTCTAATCTGTACTGAAGAGATCCTGTTATCGCAAAGACGATAATAATAAAATTGTGCTCCGCAATTAGGGGCCGTGGGCGCGTTGTAAGTGTGACGGTCAAATCTCACTATTACATTACAATAGTCCAAGAGCTGTCTTCCCTCTAGGCTAGCAGTTCAAAATTAGGTATTCCTTGTGTAGATTTGTGCGAAATTATAAACCAATCAAGCAAACTATATATTTTAATGCATAATATATTATTATATTATGTACAGAAAAACATATTTATAAATAATAAAAATAAAGCAACTGGCAGTTTTATTTTATTTTGAAATTATAAAGATTCCAGCAATTTCAGTAATAATAAAGCGATTTTGTAGATAATAAATAATATACTGTTACAAAACGACAAACTTTTCCACTAGTATGTACAACAATAAAGTCAGTGAAGACTTTTAGGTGACGAAATTCATTATTTTAAAACAACCTTTGAAAACGACCCCCAATGGCACAGCGGCACGTCTGCAGACTTACATCGCTAGAAATCGGGTTTCGATACCTGTGGTGGGCAGAGCACTGATAGCCCATTGTGTAGCTTTGTGCTTAACTTTAAACAAACAAACAAAACCTTTGAAAATACTTTTTTGTTGAAATGGGCAATATACTGTTACAAAAAATAGACTAATTTAGAATAATACTTAGCCCCCTTTTTTGCCCATGAACTTATATAAAATATACGGTTTCGTGAAATAAGATTAAAAATCTTAGTTTTATGACGTGTAAAGTCATGCTTACTTTCATGTCAAAAGTTAAAGCTTAATTTCAGGACTAGAAAAACGTACTGGCTTACAGCCTCCCCCACCCAAAATATATCATAGTTAAAAATAAATAAATAATAAATACAATAAAGGTAAATTAGGTAATTTCCTTGACAATATATAAAGAACTGTCCTGTAAGAGGCTTATGGCAGCCATTATAGTATTTCTCTCCTTTGCGAAACGCAGACAGGGAATGGCGCTGTACCATTATTTATATAAATAGTTAATATTATATAGTTTTAAGACACTGCTAATTATTTTTCATGTCGTCACACTCCTAACTTTGGTAAATAATATTAATCACATAGTACCAAGACACAATGTTAGTTCAGACTGCTTAACGCAAGGTGACACCTAAGTTTTTTGACATAATATTAATCACATAGTTCCAAGACACAGTGTTAGTTCTGCTTGCTTAACGCAAGGTGACAATTATTTTTTGACGTAATTTTAGTCACATAGTTTCAATTCTAATTATAACGAGACACGTTAAACTTTTTTCTAATAATAAAATGTAGGTTTAAAACATGCCTCTGTCCGTCATCATACCTATACTTTACTATATGATATCAACTTATTAGGCACGGATGGATAACGATTCATAAAAATGTCTTCCTGTTATTTGAGAGGTACTACAGCCGAGCCGGAACAAGGTTATGAACTTAACCTTACCACTATTTTAATCAGTACTACCCCTGACAACGTAGCGACCTCTAATTGTGAATTACTGTTTACATCCTGTTTGTCTGGCAAAATAATCTTTTAAAGGTTTATTTTTTCCGAATCTACAAGCCCGTAGCCGGGACTGGGGGGTCGGGGTGCGAACGACTCCCTCCCCTACTCCGCCGGAGATTCGCTCGCCTACTAACATTTTTTCCCCTTTTTTTGATGATAGCCTCTTATTATATAACTGCTTTTATAACACGGTGCATACATGCGGAAATAGCATTTTCATATTTATCAGAGGATATTTACTAGAAATGTTTATTTGCAGTGATAATAAAGGAACCATTACATATTTTGGAAATTGTTTCGTCCTTAAGCACTAAAGTTACACAGGAAACGAGTTCCACTTTGGACTAAAATGAATCCCCACTTCCAGACCTAGCAATAGGCTTGAATCTAAAATCAACTAGGTATTTTGAAGGGTTCTCCACACTTCAATAATGCTACCAAACATTCATAGCTTTCTATAACGTATTATGGGAATAGCCTTTTAAAAACCTTCACAATTTTACTGCATGCTTAACGACACGTCAACGACGAAAATGGCACATAAGAGCCAAAAGTTAAGTCTTTAATTTGTTTACGTTAACATCAATAACAAGAAATTAGAAGTAAAAGAACAAGAATCGTGTGTTTATACTGAGCGTAACAAATGCGGCGATGTGTTTATGCTTTACAAGCGTAGTTAGTTTGTAAACAGACGAAACAGATGCCAAGCACACGCACACACACACACAGATGGTCGTCCATACGAACCAAGCGTTGTGCTAACCTGTACATATACGTAATCTGTGTATAACGGACCTAGGACTAAATATAATTACTTATGCATGTACATATAAAGAGAAATCTGTATCTCTAAATTTAATTGCTTTATGAGGGCAAGTTTTTGAAAATGCTTTAACACGGCAATGTATAAAGATAACTTTAGGCACGTTACTACTACACAGTCGCTTAGTTTGAGAGATACATTTTGAATACAGTAAACATAGTAGTTAAGTGAAGCATGCAACATCTGTTTTGTGATTGTATAACATATTGTTAGAAATTTATAACAAAAAAAAGTATAGGTGATCTTATCCCACATGATGGAAAACACAAAGTTGAGGCTGTTCGCTGTTTTATACGCGTACTGTACACTTGAGGAATATTTTAATTCAGTTTTTTTTCCTCTCTCTCTCTAGTTGTTTCTCCAACAAGAATGGCTTGGCGTAACCTAATAAGATTACCAACTATCATGACGTATCGTTATACAAGTTGCAAGAGTCAACCAATCAGCATTGTTTTTACACAATTACCCGATTAGGTTTAAAAACACCAATACGATACGAGTTTCTGAAATGCCACTCAGGCTGAAGCTACTCTATAACGTAAATATTGAAAACAACGTACACGCTTTAGAAGTTCTAAGTAACTAGCGTGAAAAACAAATACAATTCCAGCTGAATGTGTGAATTAAGTTTGTAGGGATCCTTTCTATCCCTTCAATACGCTCTCATGATATCTAGGTTTTAATTAACTCATACAGACATTTTAACTGCACACGTCTTTCATAGAGAGTGAAAAAAATGGCAAAATGCATCATGTTTATGTCCTATCTATCTGGTGTATTTCTTCTACGAACTGTTCCTATAATACGATTCATAGCTAAATATATTCGAGATTGTTAAAACTCTCTTCCCAAGAAGTGCTTTTACTTGATCATCTTCAAATTAAGAAACGTAGTGAGTGACATCTGGGAAGATAAGTTAGTATAAAGTAGCATTTATTTTGTGAAAATCATGTATGCTTCCTCATAAAGAAAATAAATTACCTTCAATGTCACGAATCAAGGCAAGAATTGTATATGTTTCACGAATAACCTAGCGTCCCAGTTGTTTTGGTACTGAAACGTACAACGTTTCGCATATGCTGCGTAAGCTGTTAACTCATCTAAGCAACAATTTCGCCTCTGCAACTTCGGTGTGTAACAAGTGAAAAAATTTCTTTTTTGATTTATGAAAAAAAAACAACACGAAAATCCTAATAATCTTCTACTTAGTGATGCATAAGAAAGCTAAGGCAGTAAATAAACCAATAGTGGATCACACTTACCCTTAACATGTCTTCCACAACATGTAATAAAACCTTGTTGTTCTTAATGTACTACAGCTTGCCACTCCTGTTTAAACTCTTGGCATTTGGCGATCCAAGGGCATTTCAAGAAGACTTCTCAAGCAGTGAAAGTATTACTGACAGCTAGAATTTTCGAAAATTAAACGTTCTTGTTCAATCACGATCGGTCTACATACAACTTACCCGACGCGCGCGCGTGCTAAGTGCACGTGGGGCTTTTCCTTCACATAACTTACAGTCAGAAGCACCCAACGGTTAAAAGTCCCTATCTCAGAACGCATGCGTGGATCTACGTTTCGGTGTAGTAATAGAGAACTTTAGTAATAAAGTTTTAGCATTATGATAGTGTTGTTTATTCTTCAGATAAGAAGTCCTAGCGCATTCCAAATGCATAGCTGTTATCTTCAGTATGACGTTAAACTTGGGTCAATACAGGTTATTACTGTTTGAAAAACAAGAATAAAGTAAACTCAACTTACACGCAAAAACTTAGATTATTTACTACTTGTTTTACTAAATAATGATTATACACGACCCAAATTTACCTGGCATCGGTACAAAGTACTAATCAATTGTTTAGTAAAAATATATATAGAATCCAGTAGTCCAGAAGTTTCTTTTTTGCATGAAGTGTGCTAGTAATATATTCTTCCTTGGATTTAGACAAAAAAAATTACAGCAACCCTTAGAGTTCAGTCTTTTACCTCTCTTTATGCAACAGTATTTTCAATATTCAAAGTGACTTGCACCAATAACACAGGTCTGCGATGGTTTTAATGTCATGAAATTTTTACATGTTTCACAGAAATTCCTGTACGCTGAATCCGAAAATGATATCCATTTTTCTCTATCACGTACAGATTTTTCACAAAACGTCATAACGCAATACATAAAAGATAAAAGAAAGACCACAACACGTGGTTTTGAGACTAAAAAACCTAGAATTCACAAACAAAATTCAGGATGAATGAGGATACACATTCGTTTGACATCAATGTTTATCCCTTTTCTTCAGTTTGTTTGTAATTTTGTTAACAAACATAATAATAGAAATGCTCATTGTGGTAAATGAAATAATAATTTCATCTAAGTAAGTGTTTTTTCTTCTTCCAGATTTCTAAAAAAAAATCCTTACGTGATAAAAAATAATAATATTATTTTCGAAATCTGCTCAGCTGAACTATGGAAAATTCGTTATAAAACCAAAACAACTTTTATGAAGTTGAAATTCGCAGGCTTGTGTAATCCTACATTCACTATAATCAAGCTTGTGTACTGTACGAAGTCATGTAGGAATGTCTTACTACGTCACATGTCTGTGTGTTTTTTTTTGTTGTTGTTGTTGAGGATTTTGTCTGCCAATCGCGTTTGGTAAAACTTCTGCAAGCATATTTGGAAGAATCTAACATTTGTTTTATTTAGTACTAAAAAAAAAAGACATATTTTATGTTGTATGATGTATTTTATGTTCAAGTTCATTTTAATGTAAATTTTCAAGAAAGTTTTTGGTGGTAAAGAATCAATTCTGTTTTCTGTAAAGAAATAAAAGAAAAAATATCAACAACTGTTACGTTTCAATACATTATTAAGAGCTTCAGATGAAAGGTAAGTAATTATTACTGAGGTAAGAGTTTCCAGCAGGCAGCTTGATAAAACTGTGTCTGAAATCACGAAGTAATTATTACTGAGGTAAGAGTTTCCAGCAGGCAGCTTGATAAAACTGTGTCTGAAATCACGAAGTAATTATTACTGAGGTAAGAGTTTCCAGCAGGCAGCTTGATAAAACTGCGTCTGAAATCACGAAGTAATTATTACTGAGGTAAGAGTTTCAGCAGGCAGCTTGATAAAACTGTGTCTGAAATCACGAAGTAATTATTACTGAGGTAAGAGTTTCCAGCAGGCAGCTTGATAAAACTGCGTCTGAAATCACGACAGTCGGAGTGGAAGTCTGGGAGTTGCTCCTCAGAATCACTAAATGGTACACTATATACAAATACTTTACAAATAAACTCAGTAAACATGTATAATACAACGTTAACCATCACTTGAAAAGTGTCTTCTTATTTCCAAGCAGTATCTAAAAAGAGCTGTAAAAATGTTTTCATTTATTTCTGGTACCTTAATTTTCATTTAGTTAAAGATGCATCCAGAGGTTTTTGCAGATGCGTTTACAAACTATCTTATGTATTTTTTCTGTTGTGAGTAATACTATTAGACAAGTTAAATTTGCTTTCAGAAGTATTTTGTGTTAAGGTATGATTGTATGAATATTAAAACTGTGTTAAAGAAATACATCTTCATATGTACGTTTTATAAGACTATATTCGGATATTTTATCTTTTTTAAGAATGACTAATTATGACCATCTTGATGTACCAAACTGTCTATAATAAACTAGAATTATGAAGCAATACACTGCCATAAACAAACAATACGAAAGCATAAGTAGTCTTTTACAAGTTTCAAACCTAGAATCTTGATTTTGTCAAGAAAGTTTCAGCAAGTTACAGTTATACAAGATCCTGCATTTCTATCTGGAAATTACGTTTAAGTTGCAGCCTGATTGCTTCTAAGATATATGGCTTGTGAGTAACAGAAACCATAGTTAAAGAAATCCAATAACGTGAGTGTAATCGACAGATAGAAGTATGGTATTCCTGAGTAAGATATATATGCAAACGAGTAAGTTTGTTAACGGTTGAAGAATTTGACTAATGGGATTTAATATGATGTTGCTTGTGAAGAAGAAAAAAAAGATGTTCAGTGTAACAATGAGTGAAAATTATCTTTACTTGTCTTCCTGCAGACAAGCCTAAAAATAATGCAAAAAAAAAGGAAAAAAAAAGCATTTGAAATAAAAATTCAAAGTATTTGCAGAATTAGCACCTTAGTTACAATAGGTAACTAAATTTGAACAATCTGACATTGCAGGACTTACAGCTCCTAGGCTGTACTGGTCACTTTAATGTTTGCTTCTTAATTTATTTCAAATTCCTACCTGACCATGAAAGCAATGTGCCGATCACTTGTGTTGTAACAGCTATATTCTCGTCCAACTGATCGATGTGACAACATAGATAGTCGCGATTGACAGCAACGAGAGAGGTGACTAGTAAACGTGATCAATAGTAGACGCACTTCCTATTTCAAACCCAAACCAGATAAAATATACAAAACGGCGTAAAAGTAACACAACCATTCGCTCCTTTTTCTTAGCTCATCTTTTAGTTGAATGTAAATTAAATCTGTCACTCAACGCAATAATACATGAAACCAAGGGATAATATTACATTACACAAGAACTATACAAAAACAACAACACACAACTTAAAAATTAGCGTTTAACCAAAAAAATAATAAAGGATAAATAAAACAGAATACCTGACTTTTCCAGTTGCCAAACTACCATAATAGACAATTAAATGGCAAGAGTAAATTAAAATAATAATTAAAAATAAAGTAAAACAAAAGCGGTGTATTTCAAATAAACTAAATAATCAAAAACATTCATACGTTTCAAATTAAAAGTATAAAATCAACAAGTAAACTAAATAATCAAAAACAATCATATGTTACAAATTAAAAGTATAAAAACAACAAGTAAACTAAATAATCAAAAACATTCATACGTTTCAAATTAAAAGTATAAAAACAACAAGTAAACTAAATAATCAAAACATTCATACGTTTCAAATTAAAAAGATAAAAACAACAAGTAAACTAAACTTTCACAAAATTATTTTTAAAATTACACATGACAAAGGAAAATGGAAGTATATAGGTATATACATAGGAATTTCAAAATCCATCTTTAGCAGATGTTAATGGGAATGTCTCCAAGGGTGGCGTTCTAGATGTTTACTCTAGCCTTTTAAAGGCCCTTCCTGAATTAAACTTAACAAATTTTGTTACTGGCCCGGAAGTCTAATATACCTTTTCTCTTTTAGCAATTGTGTCCGGTTTTTGTGTCCCCAGCCAGGGAGGTCATAGATAATGCAGCTGATTTACTTCTTCAGATCCTTTGGCAGCTTCTTAGTTGTCCACACACTCTGCAGCTGGATGTAGTAGGTGTGTATTCACATTTAACATCGGTGTTTGTTTGGCACACCACAGTCCAGCAGATAAGAACCTCTAGCTTAAGTCCAGTGCTAATATTCATTATTTTGTTCTTTTCATAATAGATAGTCACTGGCTTAACAGTCGTCTTGGCTTAAAAAAAGTAAGTGGTTTCTGATAAATGTGATTCGTATCCACACTACAATATTTATTGGGTAATATCAGCTGCAATATTAAAGTTATAACACTGGCAACTCCCAAAAAAAAGGTAATAAAATTAAAAACAAACACATTATTTCCACTGCCAGGTAACTAGTGATGAAATGGTACAACCACATACCACAACTAGCCAAACTGGACCTCAAGGAAGACAAGCACCCCATAAGCTTCTGCTGGGAACTCAATCACAACTGTTGAAAAGCCAACAGATCTAAATAAACAATACAACTCACACCTGCATGAACTAACCCCAACAGTTGCTTGCCGAAGCAGAGCACTATTCTGTGAAATACCACAACAAATTATAGTTCTTATGCTGATTCCACAAGCAACTAGAGAGGTGACTAATTCAGGATCGTGTTTGAAGATGGTTAGTAATAGTAAAACTAGAGAAAATACACAAACATTTAAAAGAAACATAATCTCAAAGAATGTTCAAGGTTTGACATGCAGGCATCACATACACGACTCTTCAATAGTACACACACACACATATATATATATATATATATATGTACACAAGAAAGATGAAAGAGAAGTAAACATTATATATAACTTTATTTAACACGCTGGCGTTTACAAATCAGTTCATAATTTATAAAAAACCACATGAGCAATATTTAGCCCTGTGTTATTACTAGCGAGGGTACCCAGTAATGCTATATCTAAATGGGGTGTAGATCGCCCCTTTTAATATTTTGAGTTGTAGCACACGAAGTGTTCCTCCGATGAAAAGGTACCCGTGCTACGCGCGGTATTAACCGCCAGTTTCGTTTGGCGTCGGCTTCACGTACATTACTCCCGACCTCCTTTCTTAGTTGAACTCTCATTCACTGCATTAAAGCCGTAGAATTGAAATGACTGTTAAATTCGAAACGTTTGCCCGATTTCTTATCCTTTTAAGTTCGATCTTTAAAGATGTTCGCCCGAGTTC